GTAGTGGGCTTCAGGTTTCTACCTTTTGTGACGTGTCACCCATGCTAGGGTGGGTTATTGGTGGCACAGCTATCTTTGAGTCATGTATGATCTGTGAAGTAATCCCTCATCCAATTCCTGTAAGTAACCCCAATAAAACTTACTGGTTCACCGAGTTTGACTTTGGTGGTATCTATACTTTGGTCTATCATCAGTTAAGCGTCTAGGATGGGTAGGTATTTGTTCCCATCTCCCCTGCAATAATATCACACAACTGTAGATCAGGAGGTGAGTGCTAAAATTAGAGAGAAATAGATTTGGCTTGATATGCTCAAAGATAGCCAGAAACCTGGCATGAACTGGGAGATAACAGCAGAAAGAATAGAAAATATAGGGGTTAAGGTAGGATACTGATAGCCCATCAATAAAGATGGAATAGGTAATTAACGACTATCTACTACAAATAGAAACTTCTCTGATGGGGGCTGAGATGCATTAATCTGTGAGTATCATAAGTCATTAGGAGTCAGTTTAATAAGATGCCCATTTAGCATAATCACAGTAGGAGGTTCTCCCCTAGGGCCTATGACCTATCTAGCTACAGGTTCTTGTCCTGACAATGGTACCAGGAATTGGTTTTCTCTTGTGAGATGAAACTTAAATCCAATCAAATGTTAGAACTCACAAGATGTTTATGCCGCCATTGCACCAGTGGGCATGTCTTTCCAGGCCAAATTTTATCGTAGCTCCCAGGGTTCACAGCTGGGTAAGACTGGATGATGACTCTCCTCCTTTGGTAACATGGAAAACACCTCCCAGCATTATGAAAGCTAGCCAGTAGGAATGATACTTCCATATCAGTACCACCTTGATATCTCCGTGTTTTGTGTGACTTAAATACATTGTGTCTTCAACAAGAGGATCTTATTATCAGCTCCAAAGGATAACCAATAGCATTGGCAATAGCTTATATTATTTGGGGATCTATGGGACCTCACTAGCCAACAACTCCTAAAATGGTAATGCATTCCTGGCATGGGGCTTTTTATTTGTTAGTCTGTGGTATCAAACAAAGTCATTGTTGTCCTGTTCAAGGTAATTCCATTTCAACTCTTTTTATATATGTGTGTGTATAGAAGCTTTTACACTATATATATCTATTTCTATATCTATATATCAAATGATTTAATTAATAAAAATATCTCACAGGTGTACTCAGCCACTTGGGTTTTAGTTAATTCCAGATGTAGTCAAATTGACAACCAAGAATAACCATCAGATCTGGGAGGGATTGGAGGCATGAAAATCATCAAAAACACATGGTATGAAATTCTCAAAAAAAAATAAAATAAATTTCTACATGTATGAGGAAACAAAGTAATATAGGTTTTGTTTGTGTGCATTGGAGATATCTATGCTGAGGAATGGTACTGCATGTTTACTTTAAAGGGGGAACTAGGCAGAGATTCTAGGGCAAGAATAGCAGTAGAAGGAAAATATAGGAGACTACTTCAACAGTCTGAGCTATCAAAAACATTGATTTGGTCTTAGGTGGTAAGCTGTGGAAGCACAAAGAAGTAATTAAATGTAGTTTGAAGGTCAAGTCAAAAAGTTTTGTTGTAAGTGGGTATAACACATAAAAAAATCAGAAATCCAGGATGCTTCCCAGACTTAGGACTTGAGGAACAAAGGAAATAAAAATATGTTTCAACTTCTACATAGTTTTTATTTTTCTTTGATTGTGTTATAAAATGCTATTCTAGACTACCCATTCTAAAAAAAAAAAAAAGAGTTTGGCGAGTTCTTTAAAATCTCAGTAAATACTTATTTGTAATCCTGGGCATTTATTACAGAGATTTAAGAACTCATGTCCATACAAAAAGCTATCTGCAGATGTACAAACACCTTTTTCTGTAATACCTCCAAACTAGAAACTTTCAAAAGGAGTCCAAGTTGATACATCACAAACATCTTGCACATCAGAATGTAGTTTTGGGTAGGTACACTTAGAAGTTGGCAGAATTCTCACCTTGGTTCCCTGTCATGTAGAGTGAGGGATATTATGGTTAGAAAGGCTAAACGGAGTAGAGTTGTTTCTGCCGAGAAGAGTGAAGTGAATCAAAACCAGTATTGCATTCCTGGAGGAATTGCAGAAATTAGTGCCACCATGAAAGATGGAGGGATGGTAGTTCTCACCACATTTCCCTTTAACTCTCCTATCTGGCCAGTGTGGAAGGTAGGTGGATCATGGAGAATGACAGTTGACTATTGAAAACTCAATCAAGTAGTGACTCCAGTTGCAGCTGCTGCACCAGATGTGGTGTCCTTATTTGAACAGACTAGCACATCTCCTGGTACACGGTATGCAGCTGTTGATCTAGCAAATGCTGTTTTCTCAGTACCTGTCCGTAAAGACCACCAGAAGCAATTTGTTTTTAGTTGGCAAGGCCAACAGTAAACTGTTACAGTTTTGCCTCAGAAATATATTAACTCTCCAGCCCTGTGTCATAACTCAGTTTGAAGAGATTTTTATCATCTGGGTTTTTTTTTCCACAAAATATCACATTGGTTCATTACATTGACAACATTACATTGACTGACCAAGTGAGCAGGAGGTAGCAACCACTTTGAACTTTCTGGTAACACATACACACATCAGACAATGGGAAATAAATCCAATCAAATTTCAAGGGCCTTCTACCTCGATGAAATACATAGAAGTCCAGTATGTGGGGCCAGAGGCATTCCTTTCAAGGTGAAGGATAAGTTATTGTACCTGGCCCCTCCCACCACCAAGAGAGAAGCACAACATTTAGTGGGCCCACTTGGTTTCTGGAGACAGTGTATTCCTCACTTGAGTGTGTTACTCTGGCCCATCTGCCGAATGGCTCAGAAGGCTTCTAGTTTTGAATGGGGCCTGGAACAGAAGGTTCTTCAACAGGTCCAGGCTGCCATGCAGGCTGCTCTACCAGTTGGACCATATGGTCCAGTAGATCCAAAATGGTGCTTGAGGTGCCAGTGGCAAGTAGGGATGCTGTTTTGAGCCTTTGGAGTAAGGCTTTGCCATCATCTACAGACAACTATTCTCCCTTTGAGAGACAGCTCTTGGCCTGTTATTGGGCCTTAGTGAAAAAGGAGTGTTTGATAATGGGCCACCAAGCTACTGTGAAACCTAAGATGCCCTTCATGAGATGGGTTTTATCTGACCCATTAGTCCCTAAAGTAACATATGCACAGCAGCAATCTATTATCAAATGGAAGTGGTATATACATGATTGGGCCTGCGCAGGTTCTGAAGGCACAAGCAAGTTACATGAAGAAGTTGGCCAAATGCCTATGGTTTCCACTCCCATTACAATACTGTCTGCTGACACGCATGCACCTATCACCTCATTGGGTGTTCCCTATGGTGGATTAACTGAGGAAGAGAAGACTAGGACTGGATTTACTGATGGTTTTGCACGTTGTGCAGGCACCACCCAGAAGTGGGCAGCTGTAGCATTACAACCCCTTTCTGCAACAACCCTGAAAGACACTAGCATAGGGAAATCTTCACAGTGGACAGAACTCCAGACAGTACACAGTCATTATTCAAAATTTAAAAAGGTTACCAAATTCTAGGTCTGCATAAGAATCAAGCAACATATATTCATAAACATTAAAAGCCGCATAGTGTTGAATTCTGCATTTGACAGAATGTTTTCTTTATCACATTATTGCCCAAATATCTTTTTGATATGAGTATCAGTTTAATTAATCATGAGAAATCTCTGTGTATGTAGACTATGTTCCTCCTGAAGGCCCCTAGAATAGATAACACTTGCATTCTGATCTGCCCTCTCACTGAAACCCTAATCCACACCAGGAACCCAGGTATTCTTGTCTCTGAGGCTCTATACATGATGGTTAAAGTGGAGAACTAAAGACCTGCTAACACTGCTGCTCTAATAGCTTCCCTACAATAAAGTATGAAAGCCTAGACTCAATCTATTCACTGTTCAGGCCAACCAATGACCCTGAACTCTAGATCTTTCTCGTGAATGCCGGTATCTAAAGTTCTATAATTTGGAGCCCTAGGGGGAAAAAAAGGAAGGCTGACACCCAACATCAATACTAATGACTTCCAGGGTTATAACTTATGTTAATAGTGACCTCATCTTCAGCACAACAATCTTGAAGTTACTCTAGGTGTCTGAACTAGGTTTGAATGAGTCATATAGGTCAGCTTGAAAAACTGTCCTTTGAGACACTTTAAAACAGCATCTGAGGTTTGTACCACTTTCATGTCTGGAACTCTGATGCCATTCAGTCAGAATGTGGGGGCCGAGCACATGGTCTTTAGTTCTTTGAAAGGACATTCTACTTTCAAGAACACCACCAAGTCACTGTAGTTAGGCATGCATACTGATTCTTGGACCCTTGTCACTGCTAAAAACCTTCAGTTTTCCAGTCCTTTCATTCTCTGTCACAAACTCAACTGACTGCAGTGTTTGTCAAAGAACTACATTTATGAACTTCTTTTCACTAGTCTTCATTATTTAAAAAAAAATCAAACTATATCCTGAAGTCCACTTTAATTCAGAAATTCAGTTATTGACTAAAATATTTTCTAACTTATGGTCTTACATCATATCCCATCTGCTTTTTTAGAAATCCAACTGCCAACAAAACCTACAGAATGCGCCAGACACCTCCTGTCTAGATACCAGAGCTAGTTCCTTCTCAAGAGCTGCCAGGTACAACACCATGCATAAAATCAAATCGCAGACTTCCCAGTCTGAGATTTTTACCATCCTCCTCACACCGCTTTTCATGTGCTAATACATTCTAAAGAGTGATATACATTCCCTGCATTTTTAATTCCTAGGGCTGAATCAAAAGTAAACCAATTGCAAATGGTTTCAATTAAAACCTTTCTTAAGAAACAGTAGATCATTTCAATCCAGTCAGAGTTAAGCCGGGGGTAAAAAAATTTCAAACATTAAAATCATTTTTAATAGAGAAAGAAAAAAGAAACTTACAGCCAACCATCATCATGGCGACTGAGAACATCTTCTCCACATCTGTGGTCGGAGCTATGTTTCCAAATCCTATGGTTGTAAGGCTCGTCATGGTGAAGTAGAGGGAGGACACGTACAGGGAGTCCTTGCTGGGTCCTCCTTCCCAGATCCCTGCACTGGTATTGTAGCGATATGGAGTCCCAATGCTCAAGGCCAACTGGTAGAGCCAGCTGTCTATTTGAATGGTGTTGGTGACTTCATCAATGACCTCATAGTCGCCAATGCTGTACCAGATGCAAGCCAGCCAGTGGGCAACCAATCCAAATACACACACCAGGAGCACAAGGACAGCAGCTCCATACTCCAGATAATGGTCCAGTTTCCTAGCAACACGGCCCAGGCGCAGGAGGCGCACCACCTTCAAAGAACTGAAGAGACTGCTGATTCCCTGCACAAATAAAGAGAAAGTTAAATGACAATAGGACACAACGTAATAGGTGATTTTTACGATTTGATCACCCAATTATATAAAAAAAAAACATACACATAAGGAAACTCCAATTTTAAATAAGCAAGAAAAAGCCAAAATGATAAATATTTTTCTTTAAAATGCAAATTCTATCCTACCCCAGCAGGAATAGAATATTTTCAAATTTTACTAGCTGAAATAAGCTTCCAATAACTAAGAACTGTTAAATCTAAGAGAAGCACAATTTGCAAATGCACTCTACACAGAGTATAGATAAAGAGGTGTAAACCCAGGCTCTTTCTTTTTTCTTGCTACGAAAGTTTCCATTATTCCTTATTTTCTAATAGTTAAAAACTGAACCTTCTGAATAAGGAAACCCAGTCTCACTAGCAAGAAAACAATAAACACTCTGTGCATGTGGGAACAAGAAACAAAGTTCATTATTTCTACTGTGTCCTGTCCCAGCCTGCATGAACAGAGCTAAACCTGAGGTTGGTACACAGACTCCAAATTCCCACAGTCCTCTAGCAATAGTCATAGGGAAGATATCCAAAGTACGAGCAGCAAGACATCTATATTTTGTTGAGAAATGTATCAAATTCAATGAAGGTCCCATAGTCACATTTTTTGAAGCATATGACAGATTACCTGGACATGGGGTGGAAGGGTAGAGGGGCAGGAAAAATGCATCCCTGGCACAGATTGCAAACAGAGGAAAGATAAAGCAATGACCTGGGATGCTCTCACCTGCAAATCAAGTAAAAGCCATGACCTCCTTACTGTGAACTCTGTTTCCCAGATGAGGGAGAGAGCATCCACCTCCTCTGACCAATAGAGGGACCGATGAGGCGAAACAGAGATGACATTAACAAGACTCGAATCACAGAATGGTGAAGTTCTTGACATTTAAGGGGAAAAAAAAGTTCAGAATGCATCTGCTCTATTATACTTTTTTTTTAACCATGAAAATTTCAAAGAGGAAGGAAAACCAGAACACAAGCACAAGCAACAGATCCCAAAGACGTGAGAAGCAGCAGGTCATTCTGGCAGTTTCGTCTCCACCTGGCTTTCTTTAGGCTGGCCTCAATTTCACTCGCCAGCTCTCAGATACTGTGACACATAAACAGCCTGGAAATAAATTCCCATTGCACTTGAACATTTGGAGTAAAAATAAGATGCTGAACTTTCGGTAGTTAGAAGAAGTAGGATTGAGGCTGAGGACACAGCTCAATCTGTGAAGCCCTTGCTGCTCCAGTATGAGGAGCCTGAGTTCAGTTCCAAGAAATCGTGTCAAAGAGGTCAGGCATGGTGGCAGACACTTGTGAACAAAGCGCTGGGGAGGCAGAAACAGGGGGATCCAGTTTCTGATGGGAGACCCGATCTCAAAAAAATAAAATGAAATGAAAATAAGGTGGACAGTGTTTGAGAAGGATCAGTTCCTCGACATGTACACAAACGTGTACAGATAAACACCAAAAGAGGGAGGAAGGGAGGAAGGAAGGGAGGGAGGGAGAGAGGGAGGAAGGGAGGGAGGGAGGAAAATTAAAAAGAAAAATGGGTACAATATAGTGGCATCAATGTCATAAAGTAAGTAGGTTCAAGACAGCTCAGAAATGCTCAAATATGGAGCTGTATAATTGTCAACAAGAAAGAAAAGATGGGCTTATGGAGCACATCGTATGCCAGGCTCTGGGTTCAGTGCTGGGGACATTAAGATAAATATTCCTGGTGTCTGCTTTAAAGGAACTCATAATTGAAATTCATGAAAACTTGGAGTTCAATTTTTTTTTTTATTTTAAATGCTGCTGTGGATGCTGTTTTTTTGGTAGCTTGAATTTGTGAAGAAGTGGTAGAGCTTCTCTTTAAATGCCACCCAGGAAAAAAAAAAGTTATTTCTGCTTGAATTCTTCTCCATTAAAAACAAAAGGAAAACCACAGGAGATGTTTTTTTACCCCATTTGAACTAATAAATTGCCACAAGCCCCCGCTAGAATCTATGAATAAGAATCCACTAGAATTGGAGTCCTAAAGAAAGAGAGAATTTATCCAAAAGGAATCACAACTGAGCTCCAACTCCTGTCGGGGCTGCTTACTCAAAAGCATGTTTTCCACAGCCTGGCCCAACTTCACTTACATAATACATGATGCTTCATGGACATAGGTTTGGCTGTAGGTTCCATGCTGACCTTTTTTCCTTTTAACTTGTTTTTAAATCACTCCCCAACTGGCATACTTGGCAAAAAACATCTTGCAAGACTATCCTTCTCTACGTTTCTTTCATGGGCTGGGGTCCTCATCAATGAGTGCCTCTAGCCTTTTTAAGCTTTCATTGGTCTTATGCAAAAGGATGGCTGACCCCCAAGACCTCTTCTCTGAACACTCAACAGAAATCGCTCTTGAGTTTCTTAAGAGGTAAATGCTACTATAAATTTCCATGTGAATGCCCCATTGGTTCCAAAGGTCTGAATGGGACAGGGAAGCTTCATTCTCCCAACTCAGTCTCTTACCCCTTGCCCTGTAGTACACATCACTGGAACCCACCTGGTCTCTGAGTCTCAAATCTTTCTTCTCTCTGACAGATCAGCTTTACAAGCTCCGGGCTGCTTATTGCTCAAAGTGCCTAAGAGAGCGACATTTACCCAGATAACAAATCTATTGAAATATTCCTTTCTTTCTTGTTCCTATGGCCACACCTCAGACATGGTTTCATTTTCTGTTTTGTGTGGCTCATTGTTGATGCTGCTATATTTGTTACACTTGTGTAACTAGTCCCAAATCATACTGTACACAGTACCAGCATAGAATCTTTAAAATGTATATCTGTCTAATCACGTCCCTTTCTGACCTAAACCCATTTCTACTAGCTTATTATTCATGGGATTAAATATGACTTGCCTACTCTAATATATGAACCCTTGATGAGTTGGTCATCATCCATCCCAGTCACTCCTCTGTATGATTGCCAGGTAGTTGCAGGATCTACTTGGCACAGTGAACAGAATCCCAGGCTGCTCCATGCCATGTTACAACTGGTTAATTCCCTCTACTTAAATAATCCTTTCCTCCCATTTCCTTGGTAACTGGGATCTTGTGACATGGCAAATGTTCTTCCCTCCACTACCCTCATTGTCATGCTCTCACTTTCTCCCCCCACTGAGAACTGGGTGTTTAGCTTTGTGTTATCATACACTCTTTGCACATCTCTAGTGAAACAATTATCACAGTCACACTTTATTACAAATCTGTTTCCATGCATGACATGCCAGGAAACTATAAACTCCTTGAAGAGTATATCTATTGTCAATTCCCAACCTGGCAGTTGAACCTACATTAAGCAGTCAATACAGTCAATAAATGAAGGAGTAACTTTTAGAATAAGCAAATGTGGGGATGGATCTGGAGTCCTTTGTTTGTTATAGCTATCAAACTGACTTGACAGCATAACGTGAAGAAGAAACAGTCAGTGTCACTTTGCATTGCAAGAATAGAATTCAGAAATGAATATGAAAGACAAATTCTACCTCTGCACTGACCAGGCCACACATTCAGGGGGCACAGTAGATATATTCACCAGAGGGTTGCAGGAAAATAACTAAAACCCATAGACTTTGAGAAATGGGGAAGGAACTGAAGAAACAGAGAATGGGCAGGACACAGCTATATCCCTATACAGAGGCCAGGAGTGAGGATGAGTGAGTTCTGTGCCAGGCTAATGTGAGCAGCCTGGCTCATGGTTGGACTGACATGAATGGAGGGATGTACCAAAGACATCAACAACCATGCGCCATGTACCCCATGCAGTCGGCCAAGCAAAAAGCTGGACCGTTGGCTGCTTCTTCGAAAGGATAGACTAGATAACAATAAATACTACATATTTGCTACACACAGGGTACTGTTCTCAGTGTTTTCCATATGTGAACCCATTTATTCTCCAAAACGACTCTATGGGCTAAGTCTCATGAAAACATGGTCCAGAAAAGTTTAGTCATTTCATAAAGTTTACGTGGCTAGTAGAGAAAGGCTCTCAGAACAAACATGAGCAATCTGGCTTCAGACTCCTTGCTCATTCTGAAACTCACTGTGCCAAGACCACATACACTAAACTGAAAGCTGGCTCATATGAGGAGCATTTTCCACAGGATGTGCCTACAAGATGACATACCGAAGCTCCCTTGGCAGAACTCAGTCACGGCAAAGGTGCACAGAGGATGATGGTCTGTGGAGGTACATAGTCCTGGGACACACAGCAAGTCATTTCACTTTACATTTGTGGGATTCTGACTTTCAGTGCTCACAGGATGGAAGAGAGGCTTCAAGGCCACAGCAAGAAGCAGTGCAAGTATCACCCAGGCCCAGCCCTCCAGGTTCCTAGCACATTCTTCAGAACAACCACATGCTTTTCAGTCTTCCTGTCCATGCTCCATCACACCCCACACAGTCCCGGCAATATGAATCTTGCTAACCACCAGCACTTAGCTCATCCTCTGAGGCCTCATCAGGCCTGTGTGATTAAACACACTCTCTTCTGCTTGACTTTAATACCCACATGTTCACCTTTGTCTACATTCCATGTCATTTCCCACTACTTTTGTGTGTAGCAATGGTGCACTAGACCTTTCTGCTACCAAAGGCAATGCCAAACTTCACCTTTGAACTTGCCTTCAGCGTTCAATTCATTCATTCTTTTATCTAATCAGAAACTGTTACCCAAAGTAATAGATAAATAACTAAGTTGGCTTTGCTTAGAAATTCCCCCATTATTTGGATCAAAATGAATCTCATGCAATCAGTACAAATAAAAACTCAGAATAACTTAAAGCCAAATGTCCATTCCAGCAGAATGGATAAGGTATACTATCTTCATTCAATGGAATACTATCTAAAAATAAACTAGAATTATACCTAATAACAGGAATAAGTATAAGAATACCATATTAAACAAAATCAATAAGACACCAAAGAGTATATACTATATGATT